TATTATTACGCGTAAATGACGTTTTAAAGCACATAAATCATTTTTTATCACACGAAAAATTATTAAAAAAAATAAATGAAAAGTTATTAAAAATAAAATAAAATAAAATAAAATAAAGATTTAATCATTTTGGAGGTCCCGCAAATTCGTGTCATTTGTATTTTGAAAGTGCTCAATTGGGTTTCTGTTTATGTAAAATTAAGTCAATAATGCTCGTATCGTTAATTGTTGTGGACAATATTAAAATTTGTGTCTTGGTCTTCTGACGATGTAATTTTTAGTGATGTGACACAATGTGGTGGAATTTATTTTATTTTAAGTTTTAAATACAAATAAGGACACTCAGTCTAGTGGTCGGTCGGTCACTCGTTCTAGTGGTCAGTGGGCCTGGTGGGTGGTCGGTCTGGAGTTCGATCACTCGGTCTGGTGGTCGGTCTCTTGGTACCACCAGACCGAGTGACCAAACTTGACCATTAGATCGAGTGACCGAACCCCAAGTCGACCACCCACTAGGTCGATCCACTACAAGGTCGAGTGGCCGAACTCCAGGTCGACCACCCACCAGAGAGGAGTGTGAAGTTCCACTGTCACGTGCTTAATCATTGCATAGTTAGCATGCCACGAGACAACAAATTTAACGCTGTCCAGTCCAATTAACGACAAGGTTAAATATAGATCATGATAAAAATTAAATTTTACTAAATATAGATCAATTATATTTATTAAGAAAAAAAATCTAAATAAATATAGAAAGGTAAAAAAGTAAAAAGTTTATATTGTTTTCTATCAATCAAAGTTAAATTAGCTTAACTTGTTAACACAATAATTTTATTTATAAAAATTATAAGAAACTTGTAAGCACTGACGTTGTCTTGTTCTAGATTCTAATGAACCATTTGTTGATAAAAAAATCATGATAAACTAAAAGAATTATTTTCTAATTAAAGTTTTTTAAAGTTTCAAGCTTGTGGATGAAAGAATAAACGATCTTTGTAAACTCGACATTAAAATTATCTTTATATTCATTCTAATTTTCTCTAAAAATAATAGCACATGATGATAAATTAAGACAATTTATAGATGTACCATCAATATTCATCTAATTAGTAGATGTAATTTGTCATATCCATAAATGAAACCACCTACTTTCTCTAGTTTAAATACTAAAAATTTGCAGAACAAAAAGTCAGAGACAATATTATTCATATAATTCATAGATTTATTTTCAACCGTACATAACTAACTCCTTAATTTGAAAAATAGTAGAAAAAAACATAATAAGATTTCCAAAATCATCCAAATAACTGTAAGAAAACTTCATAACTATAAGAAAATTCAAGAATGCAACTCTAAAATAGGATTTTATCAATATGGTAAACACTTTTCTTTTAAAATAACAATTTTCTTTTCTATAATAAGTTTTCTATTTTATATTAACTTTTTTTACTTCAATATGCAACCTATACAATGATTTAGCTAATAACAAACTATCAATATAGGATCACTTTGTGACTAACTTAACATCCATAAATTCAATACTTAAGAAAACAAAGAATTTATTAATATCCTCCATGATCATGGCCACATACACAATATGCAATAAATTCTTCATTAGAAAAGGAGGTAAATCATTTCAATGATTAATGTTAGCCATGTCCGTTTAGAAGTTGCACTAAAGGTGTTACAAGATTCTCATATAAGATCAAACACTCACAATGTTCTTGAATTTGATAAAAGTAATACAAGATTTTTGGTGTGGAGATGATCAATCTTAAAGAACTTTGACTTGTCAGAACACTTCTAAAAACACCACATAACATTGCTTCTCATTAATATCAAATGCACCGCACCGTTTTTGTTTCTGTTCTATTTTTCTTTTCTTCCTTTATGATTTCTTTTTCTATTTCTTCTCTCTCCCTATATAATCCTTCTATGTATTGTAAAATAACACTGATTCAAATAACACAAAAAGGGTTATACAACTCTCTTACTCTATTTCCTTCCTGTACGCTTTTTTGGGTTGTTTCTCTTCTCTTTCCACAATGCATTTGCTGAGATATGCAGAAGCGACTCCATGCACTTCTTCCACAATGCACAGAGGCTTCTGTTGTTGTTCTTCTATGATGGTATCAGAGCTCTTCTTTGAAGAGCTTTGTTGCGCCAACCCTAATCTCTTTTTCTTTACTTTTTTTTGCTTTCTTTCACAGTTTCTTGCACAATGTCAGAAGATTATAATAGTTTTTCTAGTTTTCTTTATCTCTATCCTGGTGAAAGCCCAACCATTTCTCTTGTGTCTCCACTTCTTGAATCAAATAATTCTTATGCCTGAAGCAAATCCATGTTTACTTCCTTAAGTGCTAAGAACAAGGTCGAGTTTGTTTATGGGACTGCGCACAAGGAGGACGTTACTCATAATGCTTGGAAGAGGTGCAACAATATGGTGGTCTCTTGGCTTGTCCACTCTGTTTCACTTGAAATACGACACAACATTCTTTGGATGGACAACGCTCAAGCCATATAGGATGACCTCAAATCCAGTTTTTTTTCAGGGAGATCTTCTATGCATATCTGCATTGCAAAATGAAGCAGCTTGCTTGCGTGAAGGAGATAATACTGTCACAAAATTCTTCGTTAAGCCTCGTATCATATGGGATGAACTTGAAAATTTTTGTCTTGAACCGGCTTGCTCGTGTGGAATACCATGTTCTTGCACAAAGACTATGATTATTACCCAAATAAAGCATGAGGATCATGGTCTGCAATTTCTTCAAGGCTTAAATGAGCAATATGGTAACATTCAATCTCATGTCCTTCTAATGGATCCCATGCACTCTATTTCCAAGATTTTCTCATATGTTGNAAAAAAATAAATGAAAAGTTATTAAAAATAAAATAAAATAAAATAAAATAAAGATTTAATCATTTTGGAGGTCCCGCAAATTCGTGTCATTTGTATTTTGAAAGTGCTCAATTGGGTTTCTGTTTATGTAAAATTAAGTCAATAATGCTCGTATCGTTAATTGTTGTGGACAATATTAAAATTTGTGTCTTGGTCTTCTGACGATGTAATTTTTAGTGATGTGACACAATGTGGTGGAATTTATTTTATTTTAAGTTTTAAATACAAATAAGGACACTCAGTCTAGTGGTCGGTCGGTCACTCGTTCTAGTGGTCAGTGGGCCTGGTGGGTGGTCGGTCTGGAGTTCGATCACTCGGTCTGGTGGTCGGTCTCTTGGTACCACCAGACCGAGTGACCAAACTTGACCATTAGATCGAGTGACCGAACCCCAAGTCGACCACCCACTAGGTCGATCCACTACAAGGTCGAGTGGCCGAACTCCAGGTCGACCACCCACCAGAGAGGAGTGTGAAGTTCCACTGTCACGTGCTTAATCATTGCATAGTTAGCATGCCACGAGACAACAAATTTAACGCTGTCCAGTCCAATTAACGACAAGGTTAAATATAGATCATGATAAAAATTAAATTTTACTAAATATAGATCAATTATATTTATTAAGAAAAAAAATCTAAATAAATATAGAAAGGTAAAAAAGTAAAAAGTTTATATTGTTTTCTATCAATCAAAGTTAAATTAGCTTAACTTGTTAACACAATAATTTTATTTATAAAAATTATAAGAAACTTGTAAGCACTGACGTTGTCTTGTTCTAGATTCTAATGAACCATTTGTTGATAAAAAAATCATGATAAACTAAAAGAATTATTTTCTAATTAAAGTTTTTTAAAGTTTCAAGCTTGTGGATGAAAGAATAAACGATCTTTGTAAACTCGACATTAAAATTATCTTTATATTCATTCTAATTTTCTCTAAAAATAATAGCACATGATGATAAATTAAGACAATTTATAGATGTACCATCAATATTCATCTAATTAGTAGATGTAATTTGTCATATCCATAAATGAAACCACCTACTTTCTCTAGTTTAAATACTAAAAATTTGCAGAACAAAAAGTCAGAGACAATATTATTCATATAATTCATAGATTTATTTTCAACCGTACATAACTAACTCCTTAATTTGAAAAATAGTAGAAAAAAACATAATAAGATTTCCAAAATCATCCAAATAACTGTAAGAAAACTTCATAACTATAAGAAAATTCAAGAATGCAACTCTAAAATAGGATTTTATCAATATGGTAAACACTTTTCTTTTAAAATAACAATTTTCTTTTCTATAATAAGTTTTCTATTTTATATTAACTTTTTTTACTTCAATATGCAACCTATACAATGATTTAGCTAATAACAAACTATCAATATAGGATCACTTTGTGACTAACTTAACATCCATAAATTCAATACTTAAGAAAACAAAGAATTTATTAATATCCTCCATGATCATGGCCACATACACAATATGCAATAAATTCTTCATTAGAAAAGGAGGTAAATCATTTCAATGATTAATGTTAGCCATGTCCGTTTAGAAGTTGCACTAAAGGTGTTACAAGATTCTCATATAAGATCAAACACTCACAATGTTCTTGAATTTGATAAAAGTAATACAAGATTTTTGGTGTGGAGATGATCAATCTTAAAGAACTTTGACTTGTCAGAACACTTCTAAAAACACCACATAACATTGCTTCTCATTAATATCACATGCACCGCACCGTTTTTGTTTCTGNTTTGATTGGTTTCTTCTGGAATATGATTTCTCCACATTGGTAATTTTGTATTTTGTCAAACTGTTGAATACTTGATTGCAATGATGAGAAATTGCTGTTACACAGCCTATACAATCATATCATATAAGTGTCTGTTAAATTTTTTTATTGGTTTCTTATGGAAGAAAACAATTTCAAATCGGTGTCTTTTGTACCTTGTGCTGAAAATTCTAGGTTTTATCACCCGAAAATGTTTACTTATTGTGGGTTGGCATCTTGCGTCCAACTTTCATTTAAAAGCAGGTCTTTGTATGTTATATTCGAACATGGTTCTAACTGTTTTTGACTTTTTGGGTTTTGATCGAGACCTGATAATATTTTAATAATTCTTCAGGTAAGGAACACTAGAACATGCAATAGAACTGGCCAGTTGACGGGATACAAGCTGGTACCTGGCTCAAACTGCTTACCGTTGGCAGGTTCGGAAGCCAAGTTTTTAAGAAGAGCTGCTTTCTTGAAACATAATTTCTGGGTAACAACATATTCACGTAATGAGATGTTTCCTGGAGGAGAATTTCCAAATCAAAATCCGCGTGTTAGTGAAGGACTAGCTACATGGGTTAAGCAGAACCGATCTTTGGAAGAAACTAATATAGTTCTTTGGTAACCCTTCCCACTTTTTTCCACACTCCTACTGGACTTCATGAAAGTATTCAGTTTAACAAAATTTGTAATGCTAAATTAGTAAAAGTGGTATGTTGAAGTGTGTAACTGCATCAAGCAATAGCCTGTTCAGTTTTTTATCTATTGTTTTATTGAAACGTCAAAAATTAGTTTCTTCATATTCTTTTTCCCTTTTACTTGAACGTTCCACCCTCGTCTTATTTTCTTCAGACTAACTGTTATTTTCAGGTATGTATTTGGAATCACACATGTTCCCCGTTTGGAAGACTGGCCGGTTATGCCAGTAGAGCACATTGGTTTTATGCTCACGGTAATTACTTGATTCAGTTGGTTGTTTATATGACTTCTGTCGAGAACTTTATGTGGTGGTTTGTTGATCCTTTTTTTATTTTTATTTTTTTACTTTCAAATGTTAGTGCTTGAATCCAGAGAACTTTGAACGGCACTGTAATATCAGTAAATTTTTATTTGGTATCATTTTGTGTTAAATGCTCACTGGACCACATCTTTTCCATCAAATGACTACTAATTTTAAGACCATCAATGCGTTTTTTGTCATTGATTTTTTGGAGTGTTGATCTTATTGGTTTGTTCATGCTACATATTTTCATTGCATCTAGAAGTTTTCCATTAGTCTGACCTACAAAGCTCCCTTTTGTGCAGCCTCATGGATTCTTCAATTGTTCCCCTGCAGTAGACGTCCCACCTAATACATGTGAAATGGATTCTAAAGATAATGAAATTAAGGATAATGGTTCTTCGAAGCCAATTCCGAGTGGGTTGACGGCAAAGCTTTAGGAAATTGTCCCACCAAAAGTTTGGGTATGGGTTGCTGGTAAGAGAAACTCAAGTACTATTTTGGTATCCCTGAAATATGAAGTTGAGCAATTTATATTTTTTTAATCTAGAATATTGATTAAGCTGTGAACTAAAATCGTGATCTCATTTATTCTGGAAAGCTTGTGTAGAAAGCTTGTTGGTAATATTCGTTTGATTTTCTTTGTACTTGAGAATCTGATTTCAAATTTGACTGTAGATGCTGGTAGTGAAACAGTGAATCTGACGTTATTATTTGGTTCAAAATAAATGGTTCGATACCGGGCTTCATATCAGGATTCAAGGTATTTGTATTGTGATTGCCTGTTCTTGTTCCCTTTTCACCCTGCGTTCCAAATGCGGTGATGGATGCTATTATTACGCGTAAATGACGTTTTAAAGCACATAAATCATTTTTTATCACACGAAAAATTATTAAAAAAAATAAATGAAAAGTTATTAAAAATAAAATAAAATAAAATAAAATAAAGATTTAATCATTTTGGAGGTCCCGCAAATTCGTGTCATTTGTATTTTGAAAGTGCTCAATTGGGTTTCTGTTTATGTAAAATTAAGTCAATAATGCTCGTATCGTTAATTGTTGTGGACAATATTAAAATTTGTGTCTTGGTCTTCTGACGATGTAATTTTTAGTGATGTGACACAATGTGGTGGAATTTATTTTATTTTAAGTTTTAAATACAAATAAGGACACTCAGTCTAGTGGTCGGTCGGTCACTCGTTCTAGTGGTCAGTGGGCCTGGTGGGTGGTCGGTCTGGAGTTCGATCACTCGGTCTGGTGGTCGGTCTCTTGGTACCACCAGACCGAGTGACCAAACTTGACCATTAGATCGAGTGACCGAACCCCAAGTCGACCACCCACTAGGTCGATCCACTACAAGGTCGAGTGGCCGAACTCCAGGTCGACCACCCACCAGAGAGGAGTGTGAAGTTCCACTGTCACGTGCTTAATCATTGCATAGTTAGCATGCCACGAGACAACAAATTTAACGCTGTCCAGTCCAATTAACGACAAGGTTAAATATAGATCATGATAAAAATTAAATTTTACTAAATATAGATCAATTATATTTATTAAGAAAAAAAATCTAAATAAATATAGAAAGGTAAAAAAGTAAAAAGTTTATATTGTTTTCTATCAATCAAAGTTAAATTAGCTTAACTTGTTAACACAATAATTTTATTTATAAAAATTATAAGAAACTTGTAAGCACTGACGTTGTCTTGTTCTAGATTCTAATGAACCATTTGTTGATAAAAAAATCATGATAAACTAAAAGAATTATTTTCTAATTAAAGTTTTTTAAAGTTTCAAGCTTGTGGATGAAAGAATAAACGATCTTTGTAAACTCGACATTAAAATTATCTTTATATTCATTCTAATTTTCTCTAAAAATAATAGCACATGATGATAAATTAAGACAATTTATAGATGTACCATCAATATTCATCTAATTAGTAGATGTAATTTGTCATATCCATAAATGAAACCACCTACTTTCTCTAGTTTAAATACTAAAAATTTGCAGAACAAAAAGTCAGAGACAATATTATTCATATAATTCATAGATTTATTTTCAACCGTACATAACTAACTCCTTAATTTGAAAAATAGTAGAAAAAAACATAATAAGATTTCCAAAATCATCCAAATAACTGTAAGAAAACTTCATAACTATAAGAAAATTCAAGAATGCAACTCTAAAATAGGATTTTATCAATATGGTAAACACTTTTCTTTTAAAATAACAATTTTCTTTTCTATAATAAGTTTTCTATTTTATATTAACTTTTTTTACTTCAATATGCAACCTATACAATGATTTAGCTAATAACAAACTATCAATATAGGATCACTTTGTGACTAACTTAACATCCATAAATTCAATACTTAAGAAAACAAAGAATTTATTAATATCCTCCATGATCATGGCCACATACACAATATGCAATAAATTCTTCATTAGAAAAGGAGGTAAATCATTTCAATGATTAATGTTAGCCATGTCCGTTTAGAAGTTGCACTAAAGGTGTTACAAGATTCTCATATAAGATCAAACACTCACAATGTTCTTGAATTTGATAAAAGTAATACAAGATTTTTGGTGTGGAGATGATCAATCTTAAAGAACTTTGACTTGTCAGAACACTTCTAAAAACACCACATAACATTGCTTCTCATTAATATCACATGCACCGCACCGTTTTTGTTTCTGTTCTATTTTTCTTTTCTTCCTTTATGGTTTCTTTTTCTATTTCTTCTCTCTCCCTATATAATCCTTCTATGTATTGTACAATAACACTGATTCAAATAACACAAAAAGGGTTATACAACTCTCTTACTCTATTTCCTTCCTGTACGCTTTTTTGGGTTGTTTCTCTTCTCTTTCCACAATGCATTTGCTGATATGCAGAAGCGACTCCGTGCACTTCCACAATGCACAGAGGCTTCTGTTGTTGTTCTTCTATGATGGTATCAGAGCTCTTCTTTGAAGAGCTTTGTTGCGCCAACCCTAATCTTTTTTTCTTTATTTTTTTTTCCTTTCTTTCACAGTTTCTTGCACAATGTCAGAAGATTATAATAGTTTTTCTAGTTTTCTTTATCTCTATCCTGGTGAAAGCCCAACCATTTCTCTTGTGTCTCCACTTCTTGAATCAAATAATTCTTATGCCTGAAGCAAATCCATGTTTACTTCCTTAAGTGCTAAGAACAAGGTCGAGTTTGTTTATGGGACTGCGCACAAGGAGGACGTTACTCATAATGCTTGGAAGAGGTGCAACAATATGGTGGTCTCTTGGCTTGTCCACTCTGTTTCACTTGAAATACGACACAACATTCTTTGGATGGACAACGCTCAAGCCATATAGGATGACCTCAAATCCAGTTTTTTTTCAGGGAGATCTTCTATGCATATCTGCATTGCAAAATGAAGCAGCTTGCTTGCGTGAAGGAGATAATACTGTCACAAAATTCTTCGTTAAGCCTCGTATCATATGGGATGAACTTGAAAATTTTTGTCTTGAACCGGCTTGCTCGTGTGGAATACCATGTTCTTGCACAAAGACTATGATTATTACCCAAATAAAGCATGAGGATCATGGTCTGCAATTTCTTCAAGGCTTAAATGAGCAATATGGTAACATTCAATCTCATGTCCTTCTAATGGATCCCATGCACTCTATTTCCAAGATTTTCTCATATGTTGTGCAACAAGAAAGACAAGTTATGAATAACACCTTTCTTAATGCTCTAGAAACCAAAAGTATGGCTGTTGTTCATTCTGTTTGATGTTCATATTATGGTAAAAATGGGCACACTGAATCTGTTTGTTTCAAGAAAAATGGTTTCCCTACCAACAAGAATTATGGCAATCGTAAGGCATGCTCTCACTATGGTAAAACTAGCCACACCATTGAGGTTTGCTACAGAAAACATGGGTTTCCTTCCTGGTCACAGACTTCACAATGGAAAAAGCTTCATGTCCAAAAACCAAGAAACCAAAATTGAGAGTCAAGAAGATGCTCCTGATCATGAAGTTCGGCTAGCACAACAACAATATCAAGGTTTTATGGCTCTTATCAAACCCACCAATGATACAGGGTCTGCATCCACTAACCAAATCAGTTCTATAGTCTCTACCTCCACTACTACAGGTAAAACCATTCTTGGTCTTGATTCACACAAAGACAAAGGTAGTGTCCCTTGGATTTTAGATTCTAGTGCAGCAGATCATAATGTCTGTTCTCATAATCATCTACAATCCTATGAAAAGATTACCTCAATTACTATTAATTTACCTAATGGCATGTAAACAAAAGCTACTCATAAAGGAGCTATTCAGATTTGTGACAATCATTCTAAAAGACGTCCTTTTCATTCCAGACTTTTGTTATAATCTTATCTCTATATCTAAATTGGCTGCACACAATCATATATGCCTTACCTTTACTAATACCATTTTTTCTATTCAGGATATGACAACAAACAAGAAGATTGGTTCAGTTAATTCTCATGCTGGTTTATACATATTTCGTGACTACAACAACATCAAGCGACACTCTTTCAACTCTGTAGATAATCACCAAATATGTAAAGTTGGATGTAATAATCTTTGTCATAATTGCTTGGCTCATATGTCTGATAAATGTTTAGATATTTTAAAACAAAAATACCATTGTTTTGACTTTAGAACTGATAACTGCAATGCTTATCATGTTGCTAAACAAAAGCGTCTCCCTTTTCCTCCCAATACTTCATATGCTTTACATCATTTTAATGTTATACATGTTGATATTTGAGGACCTTACTCTATTGCTTCTTTACA